CCCCACCGCACCCCACGGCTCCTACCTGTAGGGGCAGCCAGGGGCCTCCGCTCTGCATGCTGCCCCAGCCCTCAAGTGCCACCCCTGCAGCTCCCATTAGCCAGGAACCACAGCCAATGGAAGCTGCGCGGGCAGTGCCTGAAGATGGGGCTGTGTGCAGAATTGCCTGTCTGCGCCTCCTCGTAAGGAACTGGAGAAGGGACATGCTGCTGCTTCTGGGAGCCGCTTGAGGTAAGCGCCGCCTGGAGCCTGCACCCCTGAGCCTCTCCCCACACCCCAACCCCCTGCCCTAGCCCTGACCCCCCTCCTGCCCTCCAAATCCCTCGGCCCCAGCCCAGAGCACCCTCCACCCCAAACCCCTCATCCCCAGCCCCATTCTAGAGCCCGCACCCCACTCCAGCGCCCCAGCCTGGAGCCTCCTTCCGCACCCTGAACTCCTCATTTCTGGCTCCACCCTGGAGCCCGCACACCCAGCCAGAGCCCTCACCCTCTCCCATACCCCAGCCCCAATTTTGTGAAGATTCATTGCCTGCTGTACAATTTCTATTCCCAGATCTGGCCCTTGGGCCAAAAAGTTTGCCCACCCCTGCACTAGACATATGTACTTCATTTCTCTCTTGCTTTTTTATGCATACATATTCTTTCAAATAGAGGGGAGATGAAGTCAATTAGAATGAAATTGAAAGGTAGCAAATTCAAAATGGATAAAAGCACTTTTTTCATAAAACACACAATAGCGTGTGCAACTCAGTGCTACAAGATGTTGCTTAGCCCAAAAGCTTAGCAGGAATCACAAAGGGTCAGACATCTATGGGGATAACAAAAATATCTAGAATTAATCTAAGTATAAAACCCCCAAATATTCAAAGCTATTCAGTGACTCATGTTTCAGAGCATAAACCAAACTTTTAACTATTGGAGGTCAGGGAAAAAACCTTCCCTAGGCATATTATCCCATAAGGTGGTACATGGGGTTTCCTTTGAAGGAACAGATGCTGAACTAAATGACTGTTCTGATCCAGCATGAAAAATGCATATGTTCCTCTGCCAGCTCTGTCAAAGTCTATAAACAAGTGTAATACTATGATCAGTTTATCTGCAAATGAATGACATTTTTGGAAGTTAATATAATAGTGTAAATAAACATACTGGTATAATATCCTAGAGATGGAAGATCTTCATTTGCTTATATAGTAGAAACAGAAAAAGCCTCTCCACACCATGCTTAAATCCCAGTCCTGTTCTGTATATGACTAAATCTTAATTTGAAAACATAGTTTAGTTTCCATGACTATTCAGTCCTTCAGCCATCTGCCAAAGGCTCCAATTGTGCCTGAGGTGTTCATGTTGCAGACAGATATCTGCTACAACCAGGACCGATGCCACCTACTCATATCCCATAGGCAACTTAACATCTCGGTCTGAATGAATTTTGGTAACTACTGATTTGATCCGGAGGTGTACAAGTGAAAGTTTTCATATCCCATCACCCAGTCCATTCTAATTAAGTAAAATAGGAAATGCACACAATTTCTTCTAGACTAGATCTGTTCTGAATGTGATATATAATCTGAGATGAAAAGGAACCCCATCACAGCTTTGGACCTCATCCATACTACTTGGCTATTTATGTGGTAGGATTCACTGTAACATCTGAGCACCACACAGAAAATAAAGGAGCTTATTCTTTGCATACTTGTGATACACAAAAGTAATATTCCCTTTTTAAAGTTGAGAATTGAGGCACAGAGCAGCGCTGTAATGTGGGCAGTGTAGACACGCTTTATCACTGGGGGAGAGCTCTCCTGGTGATAAACATAAACAAAACCCACCCCGAACGAGCGGTGGTAGCTGTCTATACTGGCACTTTTCAGTGCTAAAACTTTGGTCGCTCGGGGGGGGGGGGTGTTTTTTCATACTCCTGAAGGACTAAAGTTTTAGTACTGAAAGTGGTAGTGTAGACACAGCCTGAGTCAGAACGTATACTTGAATCAGCATTTTATAAACCATTCCTGTACCTTAGCCACCAGATCATCCCCTTTTTTCTGTACTGCCATTTTTGGCTTGGCTCTAACCATGGTTTATATTTGCTTACAGCATATTTAGAACTGTTTGTTAGTGGTAAATGGTCATGTCTTTTTTTTTTGTAACGTAGAATGGATACCCTATTCATGTTTGTATAGCTGGTCTGGTTGGTCGTCACAGAGCTGAAAGAACGGTGGTAGGACATCCGAATGCACTGCCACCAAATGTACATGTTTTCTGAACATTCTGTTTTTCTTCATTTAATTGCTCAGATTTTCTCAGATGCCCTGAAAAGAACATAGGCAATTTATGGTACACCTCGACCTCGATATAATGCTGTCCTCAGGAGCCAAAAAATCTTACTGAGTTATAGGTGATACCGCGTTACATTGAACTTGCTTTGATCCACTGAAGTGCGCAGCCCCCTTCCCCCCCCGAACACTGCTTTACTGCATTGTATCCGAATTCGTGTTATATCAGGTAGCGTTATATCGAGGTAGAGGTGTAGTTGTAAATGCATGAATTGTTGTAGCAGAAATGGTACTGTGTGGACACAAATGGAACAGTGTTATTGGTAACTGGTTAATGTGACTGTGCTTCTACCTGATATGGGGATTACCGTTGAAAGCCGTAGCATGGACATGGCCGTGGATGGGAATTAAATGACCTTCATAGTAATCTCACATTCTTTATTGTGGTGATGACCTATCCTAAGTTTAAGCAGTTAAGGAATATTTTCGATGTATTTCTAAATTTGTGTTTCATATAGTCTTAAATACAGTAGTATATCATTGTAGTTCAGTTTCTGATAACTTTAGGCATGTAAGGATTAGATTTTTATCAATTAAATGTCAGTAAATGTCAGTTTCATCATACACACACAAAATAACAAACACAAATTTCCATCAGTGATAACAGAAATTTACAAATAGGCAAAATAAAAAAAATGCTACTGAAGAACTTAATAGAGTTTTATTTAAGGGTATTTACTCTGTATATTTTGATTTGTGATGTTGATAGTTTGTGTTTTAATGGTTATAAAGCTTTACCTTTTTAAATCCCAATATCTACTTTAATACACCTCTACCCCGATATAACGTGACCCGATATAACACGAATTCGGATATAATGCGGTAAAGCAGTGCTCCAGGGGGGCGGGGCTGCTCACTCCAGTGGATCAAAGCAAGTTCGATATAACACAGTTTCACCTATAACGTGGTAAGATTTTTTGGCTCCCAAGGACAGCATTATATCGGGGTAGAGGTGTAATTGTCTGACCTCCCGATAATTTCCCACAAGTGTGAAAATTTACATTGATAAAAATTGAATTCTGTAAAGCCTACTTAAAACATTGTAATGCTTTAGTGATATATAAGATTCATCAACAGTTTACTTTGTGTTACTAGTATGACCACAGTCTCAATTTTAATTGTTTGGAGTTTAGTTTGGACTGGCTGCGTTTTACAAATGTTAATAGTTTAAAAAATAAAAAGCCAGGACTGCTTAGGCTTCAGTCATTAACAGTTGTAAACATATTGCATGCAGACACAAATCAGGCTAATAAAATTAGGATAACTCTATTAATCCAGAGGAATTAAACCAAGGATGACTTTGGCCTCATATTTTAACTGGCCAAGGCTTTGAACTGGTGTGTTAAACTACTTTCAAGGGAGGGGTATATGGTGTGCGCACATACACTTGAGTTCTTTGCATTTGTAAGGTCAACCTGTTGTATGTTCTGCCAAAGCATTATTGACAAAAATTGACCATGAGAACACATTAACCTGTTCACTGTATATTCAGGGGCACTTGAGGTGTTTTATGATGATGAATACATTTACCTATCAAACCCTTTTTATTTGTACCTGTATTTACTTCATAGTTAGGAAAGAGTCATTTCTTCAGAAAAGTACATTGTGCTAGCAGTATATATACATTTTTTGTAAGTACTTATCTTAAATTTGTTTTCCTTTCTCTAATTGTACTTTTTCTCCTACAAAACTGGAGTAGTCAATAAGTTTAAATGTGACATACATAGAAAAAATGTTTGCACACAAGACGTGAACTTCTTTTTAAAGGGTTTTCTGACCATTAAACCAACGAACAAATGTAGTTTATCCTGTTTGGTCTTTTTTGTAAACAGTTAACTGAAATGTCCAGTACATTTGGAAGAAAAGCCCTTTATCTAAAATTCCCTTGTCTTAGAAGCAGTGAGACTTCCAATTCTCCATGTATTTGTGCCTTTCAAGGAAAAAGTACAGACTTGCTCTTGACCTTAGAAATAAAGAATGTCAATCAGAAAACAACCGTTTTTTTCTGAGTATCTTTAGCCTTCCTCTGTCATAAAAAGCAAAAGGGGCACAAACCGATTTTTTCCCCCACTTAGTGACATTTCAAGTGGTAGGTGTTAATATGGCTGCAGACTATGCCTTTTTCTTCTGTTGCAAAACAAAAGCTTGTATTTAAGCGTAGAGCATACACCTCTACCTCGATATAACGCCACCCGGTATAACACTAATTCGGATATAACGTGGTAAAGCAGTGCTCCAGGGGGGCAGGGCTGCGCACTCCGGTGGATCAAAGCAAGTTCAGTATAACGCGGTAAAAAATTTTGGCTCCCGAGGACAGCGTTATATCGTGGTAGAGGTGTAATTGCTAATCTGATAGCATGTAAGAAGAATTCTTCCTCCACTGCTTTTTGGTCCATATTTTGTGGTGTAAGAAGGACAGGGCTTCTTCCTTTATATTTTTGCTTTATCAAAATGAAAGAACATGGGAAAATTACATATATGAAACATCTTAAAGTGTTGCATCCTAGAGGAATGAATTGTGGTTTTATATTGATATCCTCTATTAAACCTGCTACTTAAAAGCTTTTTTCCCCCTTTATAAACTATAGACCTTTTTTTTTACTATTTCTGGCGAAAGAGAACTTTCTCTATTGTAATACAGGTTTGTGACTGTTTTCCCTATAGATTGTTGAAGACTATGCTGGAAGATGGCAGGTTCCTTTGCCTCAGCTTCAGGTGCTTCAGACAGCTCTTTGTTGTTTCACGTCTGCCTGTGTATCATTCCCAGCTGAATGTGAGCACGTACAATATGTTTTGAGTAGCCTAGCTTTGTAAGTACATCCTTTTTCCTATTAACTCAATTTACAGGCTAACTGTTAGTGTTCTACTTTTGCAATGAAAGCAGCATGTCAAAAGAGGTCCTGTTTTGTAAAGGCAGTCTTACTTTCTACTATTTAAATACACGAGACCAAACTTATTCCTGGTGAATTAAATAATTGAAGCTCTGAAAGGGATGACTTTAGCCTGTTCTTTTTATATCACATTTACTCAAAGAACATGCTCAGGTCAAACTTGTGAAAGTGTTGTACAGTTTCTTTTAACAACACCACCTAATAATAGAAGCGTGCCTGTCATCGTTTTATATTTCACTGACATTTTAAATGTTATGTTTTCCTGAAATATTTGCAAACCAGCAACAGAGGCTCCTGTGGCACCTTATATGCTCCCTCTACTTCTGTTAGTCTCAAAGGTGCCACAGGACCCTCTGTTGCTTTTTACAGATTCAGACTAACACGGCTACCCCTCTGATATTTGCAAACCAAACCTTGTGGCAATAAGTGGCCATGAACAAAAGTGAAATTGACTGGTACACTTCTGTTGTCTAAGCAGAGAGATGCAAAAAGTAAATAAACTAAAAATTATTGTAATGGCCTGAGGTTTTTGTAACAGGAAAAGATTTGTTTAAATTGTGACTCTAAATCTGATTCTTCAACAAAACACTTTTTGGAGAAGAGTTTGTTACATAAGATAGTTAAGAAAACATTTTTCTTTTGAGGAAAAGATTTGTTTAGGGCTGATATACACATCTTCAACTGATGATTTTGTTATCCTGTTAATTTGCCCTAACAAAATCCTCCTCGCCATCACATTTATTGTCTAACTCAATAAAGTAGATGCCAAAAACTTGAAAATGTCAAAATAAAAACAAACAATTCTTGTATCCTATAGATATTGGCTCCTGTCATAAGTAGGAGGTGGAGAGAGGAAATTTGAAGCATACTGAGTGCTGCTTTCACAAATAAGAGCGAGTTCCGGCTCAGTAAATGGGTTAATTTTTTGTCCAGCAGGTGGAACAGCTCTGTCTTGCTGAGCTCTGGTTTTAACTGTTCTTAGTTTGTTTTTGTTACTAGTTTTACTTGGTCAGAATTCGTCATCTCAATGTGGGATTTTGTGTTAGCTCCATGAACTAAGGGTTAAAAAAATATCTGTAAGGGAACACTTTATTGGTCTTTACATCTCCTGTTTGCATCTCCAGAGTGAGCTGGCAGACCCACCTTTTTTACCTTGTCTTTGAACTACCATCACTAATCCCAGGAGACTAGAAGCTTCTATTTTGTGCACTTATGATGTACTTTAAAAAAGTGAAACTGAAGAGTAGTAGAGTAGATTTATGTGGAAATATAACTCTTAAAAGTGAATAACTGATGAGTGAAACCAGAAAAAATAGATTTATCAAAATATGGTGGTCAAGTACCTGAGGATAAACTACTTGCCCCTATAGAGTAGAATGAATATAGTCATAGTATCTGCTTTTAGAGAAAGATCAGTTATTGTCTGAAACATGATTCAGGTTGTTTAATACCTGGCTCATAGTTGATGCTTATTAGCTACTGTGAATCTTGTAAAAACAAAATACATTCTAAGAAAGATTTAGTGTTTCAGGGTAGGGACAATACCTTCATATGTATCTGTACAGCACATAGCACGGTGTCATTTCGATCCTGAGTGGGGCCTATGGGTCCTACTGCAACACAAATAATAAATAACTGTCACACCAAATTTAGTGTCTGTCCTACTCTAGATTAGGTACTGATCAGAAATTGGGGCCAATTGCCGGAAGGGGTGGGAATGAGTTTCTCGGTCATCTGCTATCACCCCTTATGTTAAATCTGTGTACAGAGTTTGAGGATTGATTGTCCTTTATAGCTTGCTTGCCCCCAGCTTATGAATTTGAGGAGCATTGAGCACAAAACAAAGTATTCCCTATTCAGGAATCTGCCTGACCCCATATGGGCTTTCTCCATACTTGAGCAGGGTTTCCTTGGTAACCAGATGGTAAACTACTGAGAGCAGGGGCTGCTGTTCTCTCTGTGCACTTACTAAGCAAACCATTCATAATAAATGAGGCAGCATCTATAGTCACTTTAATACAGGAGTTGTCTACTGGGATCATTGGTAAACAACATATACAAGCACTGACTTGTAGCACCTATGTTATCTGAAAAGATGGTGGTGTGGCAAATGGCCGTAAACAACATGAATGTAGATACCTATATTTTAAAACGGTGTGGTAGGTCAGATCACATTTTGGAGCATCAGGAGAGATGAAATTGACTACGATAATTTTGATATTCATGTAAAAAGATTGATGGAGAAGGAAGTTTTAAGTCTTGTTTTGAATGGCCCATCTGAGCCTGCTGATTTAAGCGTGCAGCACATATTGAAGGTGAAGAAATGTGAAATTTAGATCTGCAATTCACTTTTAATAAAAACTAGAACGAAGGTATTTGCAGATGATCCCAAATTCAATCAGAAACCAAATAAAAACACATACTTAGTTAGTGTAGTCTTTCCCAAGCAGCGTGTGAGTTCCCGAGGCTGGTAGTTTTCCAAACAATCACATGACATGTGACTTCTGCTGCAAGTAAAATGTGTTACTTAAACTTACTGATCTTACTTCAGATTGGCAATGAGAATTTGTGGTTAGCAGGAAGTATTTGTTGTTTCAATTAGCAAAATTGATCAAATTTTCCTTTAAGATTGAGATTAAATGGCCCTTGTGCAAAAGAACCACTACAGCTTTGAATATGAAGGAAGGTACAAAAATTGACCATGCCATTTTGAAAAACAAGAGACTCTAATGTAGAATATCTCTACATATTTTTTTTACAAATTCAGAGTAACTTTTTGATTCATCATTGGATAAAGAAGAATTAGGTGCATCTTAATGTAGAAGTAGCTCAACCCTTAATTACTTCCAGACAAAGCCTGTTGTTGTAGATAATGTTCTTCCCTTTATAAAGAACATGACTTTTACAGAAATGTTCGTTGGCCTGGTCTACGTTTAAAATGTAGATCAACCTAGCTGTGTCACTCAAGGGTGTGAAAAATTCATATCCCGAGCACTGAAGTTAAGCTAAGAACACAAGACTGGCCATACTGGGTCAGACCAAAGGTCCATCCAGCCCAGTATCCTGTCTGCCGACAGTGGCCAATGCCAGGTGCCCCAGAGGGAGTGAACCTAACAGGTAATGATCAAGTGATCTCTCTCCTGCCAGCCATCTCCACCATCTGACAAACAGAGGCTAAGGACACCATTCCTTACCCATCCTGGCTAATAGCCATTAATGGACTTAACCTCCATGAATTTATCTAGTTCTCTTTTAAATGCAGTTATAGTCCTAGCCTTCACAACCTCCTCAGCTGACCTAACCTCCAGCGTAGAAATGATTTAAGTCGACTGAAGAATTATTTCATCAACCTAGCTTTTGCCGCTTGGTGAGGTAGATTAACTACATTGATGGAAAGACCACATCCGTTAATGTGGGAAGTGTCTACACTACAGCAGTGCAGCTCTGCCGCCTGTAGTGTAGATATGCTTTTACTGTTCACCTTAGATCATCTTGGCATTTGTACATACCTTAATTCCTTTTGATCAGTTTAGTGTTGAAGCTTGAGTAAAACAATTTGCTTTTAGGAGTTCTTTGGAAACTGAATTTCAAAAGTACTGAATATAGAAAGTGAATTTTAATTGGTTATTTTCTAGGTACCTTGTGAACTGTTAAGTTGACCAAAACTTTTAAGCTGTTTTATAATAATTTTCTGAAACTGTCTTTCACTACTTAGTTTATCTGATACCTACAGTTGCAGGAATAAATGTTCCAGGCAGAGAAAGTATTAAAGACAAGGATAAGTTGTCTCCACCAGTAAGTTCTAAGATCAGTCCCCTGTTACCTCCAGCAGCTGCAGAGGATGCTAGGACTTGCAGAGAAGCCCTGTTTGGGCCTTAATATTTCATGACAGCCCAGGGCTGGTATCAGTCTGATAAACTTCAAGCTCCATTCTCACTAGCTTTTCTAATGGAAAAGGAGCTTTGTCTGAATTATTTATTCCTCCGAATCAGGGCCTGTGCCTAAGAGGGCCCTGCACCCTAAAAATGAGCACCTAACTTAGGCGCCTTTTTAAATTTTTACTCACCTGGTGGCGCTCCGGGTCTTCGGCAACGAGTCTTTCACTCGCTCGGGGTCTTCAGCGGCATTTCGGCGGCAGGTCCTTCAGTGCTGCGGAAGACCCAGAGTGCCGCTGGGTGAGTGATCCCTGCCAGGGCCCCGTCGAAACTATTCAAATTGGGCCCTGCACTTCCTAAAGCCGGCCCTGCTCGCTATAACATCCTTCGTAATAACGAACCTTCTGCTATAATAAACCTGGTCCCTGGATCCCACCTCCAGCCCCATGGCTGTGGCAGTGCTGGAGTAGCTGTCAGCTGTACCAGCCCTCAGGGCAGTGGGGCTCTTCTGCTATAATGAACCCCTGGCTATAATGAACAAATGGCATGGATCTCAGTGGGTTCATTATAGCAATGGGGTACTGTATTTGCAAAGTTACTTTTGTAACCTCAACGGCTAGAAATTTAACTTTCTTTAAATGAAATCTTAAATCAGCAAAAATTGATGTCTCGGGTCCTCAGCTCTTTTGCTACAAAGTTACTCATACTAGTAACCTGATTTTGGAAGCCTTTATTTTTTTTTCTTTTACTGTTTGTTCAGGAAGTTTTAACAGGTTTACAAATCCTTGCCATGTAAATATCAGAAACAAAATAATCATTACAATAGTAAGCTTTTGTTTTGAGAGACACCGTACGGTAATATAGTCATCGGATCTCTCTCTCTCTGTTTATAACATGTTAAAACCTGTTATTGTGAGAATCATTACAATGTCCATAACGTGTTTCTAATGAGTATATTAAATTGAGTGGAATTTCTGATTACACATGTAACAGACCAGGCATGTCTATCAAATGTTAATATTCTCCCAAAAATTGAACAATTGTGCTCTTTTTTTGCGGTGAATGTACTTTGTTGGAGCATTGAATAAATGGTAAACCAAATATGTTTGTCCTCTGTCTATTTTGCTGGGTACTTCATTGGTGCATTAATTTTTCATAACTACCTTTGATATTTCTTTGAACCATTCTGTTAGTTTTTTCAAGTTTTCTAACACTGAGGGTGATTTTTAGTCCTGTTGTTGCCTTATCAAATAGCAGAATACTATTAGCAGTTAAGATGGTAAATTTCTGTACTTTTATTTTTATCTTTAAGGTACTGGAAAAAAAAATTTAGTGACTCTTCTTTAGAACTAGATATAGTGGATCCCTACAGAAATCCGTTCAAGTAGTGTGGTAAGCTAAAGTCGATAGAGTAGAGTGGCAGAGCAGTGCGTAGGAGTACTCCAGCAGTTCTGTCTCAGGAGGGAAGTTAGACTGCATCTTGCAGAGTGTGGGAGCTTTGCCACTGGATACTTCACTGCTCTCCTTCTCTGCTCACAGAGTGGCAAGTGGGATACTTTTAGCTAGTGACTTGCTGCAGGATTTGTCAAGGATTGAGCTGTGAGTAGAGCACAGCGTCTTTGCAAGAAAAACTCAGAGTAATAAAAGAAATTTTAAATCAAATCTTTTGTGTGAAAGGGATAGAGTGAGGGGCAAGACGTAGAAACTATACAAATATAGGGGAGGAGCAGTGAAAATAGGTCAGAATTAAGACATACCAATTTTGTATGCCAGTTTGTTTTGTCACACAGAAGCTAAATTAAGTCTCATTGGGTTGTGAACACAACACTTCATCATTCTTGAAAACCACCTAAAAAGTTTTCCATAGACAATACAAAACAAATTATCAACTGTTTAGTCATTTTTCTGGTACAACAGTTTCAGTCACACATGGCCTTGACAATTAATAAGTATGTAGTGACAAGACAAAATAAGAAATGGAAAACTTGTGGGTGAGAAGGTAAATTACTTGTTACTTTCTATTAAATGTCAGTCCCATGTTAGGGGTTAAGTGTCTATCACCCAAAGTCCTGTGCAAAGTATTAGGCTAACCTACAAGACTTGTATGTTTCACAAGGATTTGAATTATGCATCATGGAAGTATATTCTATCATTTGTGAAAATTCAAATTGCTAAATTTTCTTACACTCGAATACTCAGGCTTGTAGAAATGTAGCTTCAGAGCATTGCATGGCGACTTAGCAGTGACTAGTGATAACTCAGGGCTAAATCTTTGTGCAATGCAATTAAAATTAATCCCATCTAGCAGCTGCTGTTAATGAGATTCAAAAATCTGAAAATAAGAAATTTGTGAATCTTTTCCTGAATGGTGAGGCCTTGAGTTTCAAATATAAACTATGCAATTGTATTGCCATGTTTTTGTTACAATGGTACGTTATGCATCTGGATGGGAGACAATTTCACCTCATTCTGTTGAATTTCCATCTCCATGTCACAGGCTTAGAGTGAGCAGAAACCAAGTTAAAGGTGATGTGCACAGTTCTGTTTTAATTTATAGTATCATCTTGCTATATAAAGGAAGTCAAAAGGATTTTCTGTCCCCAAAGGGTTTTTTCTGTTTGTGTTGAGAAATATCAGATAGGTCCATTCCTGTGTTCTCTAGCAAAATGAGGGGACTGAGATCATAATCATATTGGGAGTTTTCAGATCCAAAAGTTGAGGAAGTATCAAGTCTTCAATCTATGTTCTTGCTTTCAGCAGCTGTTTAAGTTAACACTTGAAGTAAAAATATCTAATTTGGTTTCATTTACATGATGTCTGTGATTTTTTACAATCCTAGGAGTTTACACAGTAGTTTGAGTTTTTAGGGGTGGGCCAGACCTGAGTTTCTCATTTACAGCCAAAAATATTGAGTTAACTGGTGCAGAACTGAGGATAGCTTTTATACATTGTGGGTGGGATTTTCAATGTTGAGCATTTTTTGCCTAACTCTTACTATTGGTATAAATTGGGTCTGAGTCAAACAAATGGTAAGTGCTTTGGAAAACACTACTCTATATTTTAACTGCTGTGATATGTAATACAATTTTTAATAGAGTTTTTGTAGTTTGACTGCCTAAGTACCAAATAATTTCAGGATCCCTAGCTGTGAAGACAGCTGAAATGATTTGCTTTTGTTTGGTTTGGTTTTGACTTGTTGTTTACTTGTGTTTGTAGGAGTTTTTTTGAATTGCTGCTGTTCTTTGGAAAAGATGAATTCTATGAAGATCCTTTAAAAGATATTCTAGGTTCAATCCAGGTAATACCAGTTTTTGCTTGCTTCTATGTTTGTTTTTGTAAAACACAATTTTTGGTTTTTGAAGATCAGCTTGTTTGTAGAAAGTCATGCTTTCATGAGTGTTTGGAGGATACAAGCATTGGTAGAACACTTCAGTAGCGTGAAGATAGTGAGCCATTTTATTTACACTTCCCGTCTCTGTAATTTTATCAGAGGAAAAATCTTTTAGTACACTTGCCATTGCTACTACTGTTCATATCAAAAGCCTAAATAAACTAGAGCACAATTCTTGTTTTGTAATGAACAGATTATTAATAAGGTTCTATTTTGTGAATTTGCTTTAAGAGACAGAAAAAAAATTCAAATAAAGATCCCATCACCAAATTAATTTCTGACAGCTTTCCTTTAAGTATCTGACCAGAGTTTAGTGTCATTCAAGTAATCAAGTGTTCCATGTTAGGATTTAAATCTACAGTTTCCTCCTGCACAATTTTAGACAGTGGACTGAAAAAGCAAAACTGTTATCTTATTTTATTGTTTAGGACTAGGCTGTGTTCACACTTACTTGCCTTATGTGTTGGGCATTGGAGGATGCTAACATCTAGTAACTGCTTTATAATTGTACAGTAATATTCTCATTAACCATCTGACATGAGTTACCTAGGCACATGCTGCAGAATTGGATAGGGGAAGGGAGCTGATTTAGACACACAGAATGAAGCATGTCATGGTTTTGCTTAGGTTTTGTGGGACTGTTTTTTGTTAATATTTAGGGTACCCAAAGGAATGGTTGCTACGTCAGATTCAAGTTGAGACAGATCCTTGCCGTAAAGAATTTATAACAGAGACAGGGGATGTAAGAGGAAACTGATAAAAAGGCCCATATTTTTTCTTTACCCTTAAATTGTTTGTTTTTATTTTAGCTTTTTTGGTTTCTGCTTTTTTATTTTCGATTTACTTAAACCATTTGCCTCTCATTTGTCATTTTGCATTTTGACACACATTAGTTTTGTTTTCTTTTAAATCAATAGTGCATTAATGGTCAAAATGGTCTTTTTAATGAGGAAACTTGTAAGATTTGCTTTTCAACTGAACACCTACATACAAATTGTCTGGATGAAAATAAATCCGTTTCAGTTCCTTGACAGTCAAACACAACTCATTCAGACATAATAGACTAACTTAGGAATGAATTGAAGAACATAGTAGCTAAAGTAACCTACAGCAGAAACGAGTGTTAAAGCAGTGAATCGTAAATGCTTGGAAGCTGTTCTCTAGTTTGCATGAAATATGGATTGTCCCAAAGACACTTCAGTGTGCAATAAAATCTAATGATAGATAAATTGTCTTGAATAGAATGCTCTGAAAATAATTTCAGATACCATCTTACTTTCCCTTTAGTATCTTGTTTCTTTTTGCAGATGACTGATACCAGGTGTTGTGTTAAGCTATTAATTGATGCTGGTGGTAAAGGCTACTTTATACCAGTAAATTACAAAGAAAGAATAACTTGGGCAGCATGAAAATTGTGGCTGCTGCTATCAGATTACTACAAGTAAACATTTGGCTTGATAGAAGAGTTATAGGGTTGAAAAAACATATCTGCTTTCGGACATTCCATAATCACCACATAATTCCAGGGTAACTTCTTTTTTGTACTGCATTTATTCACTTCTGCCATTAAAATTAACTTAGCAGAGTATAGACTGCATGACTGGACCAAACCTCACCTGTTGTAAATCAGTGCTGATTTATGCAAGCTGAAGAGCTGCCCTAGTATGTGTTCTACTTAAATATCTCTTAATTGGAGACTAGAAGACAGCTCCCCAAAAGTTTGGGAAATGGCACAAACTTGTCAGGCTTAGTTGACGGCATTGTTAGGATGTTTACCAAGGTTTGTGTATAACCTTTAGATTACAGAAAAGCTAGATGGGTACCTTTTTTAAAGGCTTAATATATAGTTTCAGTCAACATGTATGTGGATTTCATAGTTTTAACTCAAAATAAATATTTCTTGAAACTTGTTTACAACATTTTATAATATGTATTTAACTTGTACGGTAACTTTTAAACCCTTCTTAGGAAGTTTGACTTTTTAGCCATTAAATGAATAAAAAAAAGGTCTGTCAGACCTCTTGACAGTTTTAAATCTAATCCACTTTTTTACTCCTAGGAATGCCAGAACCTCCTAAGCAGATATGGAAATGTCAACCTGGAATTAGTGACTCGAATTATCAGAGATGGAGGGCCATGGGAAGATCCAGTATTACAAGCAGTTCTTAAAGCAAAGCCTGTATCTCAGGAGTTAGGTACTTGATTTAACACACATACATTTTTAAAAGACTTTAAAACATGCATGTTTAAGTATTATTTTACAGATACTTTTGCATATTGGGGCAATACTGACAGAGAAAGTGTGGTGTCAATAGTACTTAAGTTGTATTTTTGATATAATTTACTATACATGTTATACTTGGTGTCCTATATAATAGGTACTAATTTGAAAAACTTGTTCACTGTTCGCTCACCCTGTAGGGCATAATGAGCTAGTTACCCTGAGGCTGTTTTTTTTTTTTTTTTTTTAATTTGAAGTAATTACATATAATACTGTTAGAGCCAGGTATTTACCTGTCAACTCAGTAGTTTGGGAGGAGAGGCAAAAGCTCTTCATTAAATTTCTATCAAGACAAGACATCAAGGTAGTTGAAGTATTCATAGCTTTATACAAGAAAATAAATCTGATTTTGAGGTGATTGGTGAAAGGTTTTCACCACCAGCCTTATGAACTACATTCAATTATATTACATAAATGTCTTTACTAACCTCCTAGGGAATGTGGTCTACTAGCAGTGATCTATGGCACCTTTTTACCTCTTGCTTACTAGTTCAAATTGGCTCAATTTGATATTGACTAAAGGATGCCACTATCTTTCACTAGTTTTCCAATTTTTACATGTCAACAGAGTATCTTTCTTGAGACAGACTGGTTCAGTCAGTAGACAAGTGTGTACATTATAATTGTCACCTTTATGGTGGCATTAATTCACAAGGTAAAGACTGAAAGGCCATGGAAACTGAGTTGCCCCCCATAAGCATAGATGGTTGTTCCAGTATAAAGTGGAGGGAATTTAATAAGGCTTGGTCCACACTGGGGCGGAGGATCAATGTAGGAAACGCAGCTTCAGCTACGAGAATAGCGTAGCTGCAGTCGACGTTTCCTAGATCGAACTAAGTTTACTTACTGCGGGTCCATGCGGCGCATGCAAGCTCCCCCATCGACGGTGCTTCCTTCTCTCGGTGAGAAGGAGTTCCGCAGTCGACGGGGGAGCGCTTCTGGGATCGATTTATCGCGTCCAGATGGATCCTAGAAGATCGATCTCTACCCGCCGAAGTAGTGTGGACCTAGCCTAAGATAATGCAGGGAAGCTTTGAGTGCTATACATCATCTGTGGACAAAAGGACTTGGGTCTTCAGAGATGTCAATAGTGTACCTTTCATTATAAGTAAATTTGTATGAAAGCAGAATGATGGGTGGGGTGGAAATGTCATTGGAGAGTTTTGTATCACACTGCAAGTTCCACCAGAATTTCTGTTTGTAATGATCTGGTGATAAAGGAAGTAATAAAAGCAATGGAAGTGATAGAAGTCCAAAAGGATTTGGGCTTTTTATAATATCAACAGGATGTTCTGAAAGAGATGGAGAGCGCTCAGATACATAGCACATTGCTGTTCAGTTTTGGACGTTTCAGGTGGCTTGATCCAAATTCTTGGCCTTCAAAAAAAAAAACTCGGTCCTTTTCCTAAGAGCTATTTATTTTCTGATTTGTCTGGGTAGTCATTATGCAGAAGCTTCCCCCTGCATGCTTTCCTGCTACCTGGTTCTTTGTCTCTCCCAGAATAAAATTAGCTGTAGCCTTTAGAAGATCATTTTACCTAAGATGACTGCAGGCTGGATCTCCCTTCCTTGCCATTGCTAAGTATTTTAGCTTCTATATTTTCTACTGGCTTTCTCTCACACATCTATCTCTGAGATGGTAGCACATCCTTATGCTGTTTTCTATTTCCTTTTAGGCAAATAACTCCTTCTTTTAAAAAAGAAAAAATATTTTATTGCTACTTAAATTTGGCTGCCTCTAAAGCCCAAATCTTCTGGAAAGAGCTTTCAGTGATTATAAGAGGATTTTTGAATCCTTAGTGTGAGCAATTCAGTACTGCAAAAATAATACATTTAGGCTATATTTATCTTTCTAAAACATTACCAAACTGCTTTCACAGTGGGCACTTTTAGTCTGGGTGGTTTGTTTTAAATCATGTTAAATCAGCAAGCAGGAGATCTTGATTTAAATAATCGATTTTAATCATGTTTTGTGTTTGTACTTATTTTCCTAAAGAGAGGTTGATTTTTCATTATTTGGTAATTATTAAAACATGTTTGCAACTAAAAATAGCCTTTACACTAAATGTGGTGCTTTTTTGCTAACCAGGAAGACACTTTATCTATACACCTTTAGTTAAGCAATTTAAATAGCTTACCTTACTTTTATTCAAATTCTTAATTTTTGCATTTTTCTTGTTACAAAATGGCGAACTATGCATTTTTTATTTACTAGATTAACTTTTTTCTTGTGATTTATATTAAGTGCCTGTTGGAATTCAAATTCAATTAAAGAATGCACAAAAACAGCACTGTAATACTTTTATTAAATAAAGATATTAGATTCATAAAAAGTTTCAAAGTTGATCAAACATGATTTGCATTTAAAACTGACTTATTAATCAAAGGCAGTAGTAGCTCTAGTTAATGAATTGATTGTTTCTGGTCATCCTATCCTTCAAGATTTTAGAACCCATAGATCTCACCAACACCTAGTTTTTATTCATAGATTGGAAGAGGAAAACAAGCTTTCCTGCATTTTCTTCAACTCCCAGTGGGTTTCTTAATTTTGAATGAACTAGTCATCAAACTGAACTAGTTGAATAAACTGAAATGAAGAACATACTCTCTTCACACTTGCAGAAGAGATTCTTCTTCGAGTGCTTGCTCATGTTGATTCCATGGTAGGTGTGCACATGCCACGTGTGCAGTTGCTGGAGATTTTTCCCTTAATGGTCTCCGTAGGTCCGGCCCTAGCGCCCCTGGGAGCCCCGCGCTTATGCGCTGGTATAAGAGGTGCCACTGGCCTCGTGCCCTCTCAGTTCTTTCTTATCATCCATGACAGTTGCTGGAACGGCTTTTTGCTCTCATATGGTTTTCTTACCCTGATGGTTGGGACTTGTTTCTGTTATATATAGTTCTCTCTAGTTAGCTTAGTTAAAACAGTAAATGTTAAAGTATAGATAGTTGTCCCAGTCTTGAGGGACTTTGTCCCAGGGACTGGGCATGTCCCGGTCTGCACATTTCAAGCCGTGCTCTACCTGCGGCAAAGCCATGCCTATGGACAACATGCATTCACCTTGTCTGAAGTGCCTCGGGGAAGCTCACATCAAAGACAAGTGCAAGATCTTCAGGGGCTTCAGGCGTCCAAATCTTTCCGTACCTCGACAATTGGCTGATCAGGGGCCGTTCACAAACTTAAGTCCAGTGCAACGCTGACTTCGTATGGACTACCTGTCAAGAGTTGGGCCTATTAATAAACGAGAAACAGTCAACGCTAGCCCCTGTTCAGAGAATAGAATATATAGGGGCAATGCTCGACTTCACTCAAACAAGAGCCTGCCTACTGGAGGCCCGGCTCCAATCTATGTTGAACCTAGTCCCCTCGTCAGGGCCCACCCACTCACGGTCACTGGGATGTGGCTCAGGTTGCTGGGTCACATAGCAGTGTGTATGTACTTGGTGCAGTATGCGTGGCTGTATCTCAGACCCCTACAGGCCTCAGTCTGTTTTCCAGGCAGGCACCATTTGGACATGATTCTCCCAGTTCCGTTGGCTGTCTTAGTGTCTTTGACTTCATGGGTGGACCTGTGGTCGGTGACGAACAGGGTGCCCTTTGCTGCCCCATATCCTTCAGTGACCTTAGTTTTGGATGCTTCAGACCTGGGATGGGGAGCCCACCTCAGCAGTCTCAGAACCCAGGGCCTCTGTTCCCAGGAAGAACTTTCCTTACATATAAACATCATAGAATATCAGGGTTGGAAGGTCATCTAGTCCAACCCCCTGCTCAAAGCAGGACCAATCCCTAGACAGATTTTTGCCCCAGATCCCTAAATGGCCCCCTCAAGGATTGAACTCACAACCCTGAGTTTAGCAGGCCAATGCTCAAACCACTGAGCTATCCCTCCCCATCAGGGAACTGAGTCATATACTTAGCCTATCAGGTGTTCCTTCCCCATCTGTCAGGCAGAGTAATGCAGGTCTTAACGGACAACCCAGCCTCCGTGTTTTACACCAAAAAACAAGGGGTAGCTCACTCTTCAGCCCTGTGTTAGAAGGCCCTCTGGTTGCAGGACTTTTGTGAGGATCACGCAGTCCACTTCAAGGTGGTGCATCTCCCGGGAGATCAGAATGTGTTAGCGGATTCCCTCAGCAGGTCCTTCTCCTCTCGCCACGAGTGGTTCCTTCATACACAAGTGGTCAGCACCATCTGACACAAGTGGGGGACTCCCCAGTTGGACCTGTTCATCACCAGACAGAACAGAAAATACCATCAGTTCTGCTTGGCACATGGGCTCAGCAAGGGCTCCTTCTCGGATCCCCTCACTGCCCAGGAGAGCAGGAAGGTACTACTGTGTACGCTTTTCCACTGATACTCCTGGTTCACAAGGTTCTCTTAAAGATCAAGACGGACAAGGTAAAGGTTACCCTGATAGCCCTAGTATTGCCTCATCAACATTGATTCGGGATGCTTCTGGACCTCTCGGTAGCAGCTTCACTGGGGCTCCCACCACCCCCAGACTTGATCTTGCAGAACCAAGGCCGATTGCTCCACCTGAACCTCTCCTCCCTACACCTGATAACGTGGCTGCTGAACGCAGAAGAGCAAGTCTGCTTGGAGCAGGTCCAGCAGATCTTGCTAAGCAGCAGGAAACTCTTCCCAGGCGATCTACTTGGCAAAATGGAAGTATTTCACTTGTTGGGCCTCATAATGGAATCTCTCTACCTCTTGGTCATCCCTGCAGTCCATCTTGGGCTATCTGCTTCACCTGAAGCCTCAAGGGGTAGTTCATTTGGCAGCCATTTCGGCTTTCCATTCTCTGGTCTACAGTAGATCGGTCTTCTCCTACGAGATGACGGTCTGGTTCCTGAAAGGTTTAGAGAGGCTCTACCTGCAGGTTCCCAAGATTCCCCCATGGGACTTAAACCTGGTGC